GCTAGCTATTACTCTGACAACCTTAACTCGGATTTGAAATCTCGCGCATTAGAGTTATATACTATTAAAGGTTCGGATAAATCGTTTTACGTTTAGTGTTGTCCGCTAGGCTTTTTAATTTCGTTGATTTCTGACTGAACATTGCAAATTGAATCCTCAAAAATATAATGCACGTATATACTACACTTTCTTCGCTGTAATTTTATAAGTTAAGGTTGATTAAACAATTATATATAGTAAAGCCATAACAGTCGTGAATCAGATATGTAACCCTTGGAAACAGCATAGGACAGAATCGTCAGCTATCTCAGCGGTGATGTCATTGGCAAGAGATGTACCAGCAGAATATACATTCCGAGATTTCATAAGGATTCATAATTCTTCAAAGCTCCTGTCTAGAGAACGGTTTAAATTCCGTGACGTTGGTTGATATTTTTGCTTGCGGTTTGCTTGCGGCTCTTAGGTGAAATATCTATCGACAGATCAGGGTTTCACTCAAAACTTTAAGTTTATTATTTTTTATGGATAGTAGCCAACCCGTATTCATTTTGGTTTTAATCAATCTAACATTAAGATCTTCAAATAAAACCTTCATGACTTTCCCTGGGGAGGATACAAAAAGTCTCCTCGAGACGTTCATGTGCGCAGGGCTAACGTCATCCTCTTTCGCCATTTCAGGAAAAATCCCGGCTGAGCTGGAGTAAAAAACCTGGCTACTTACTGAAAGTTGTTTCTATGAACGCTTTTCAAAAACATTTTGCGTTCTCCCAAAATAACGTTTTCTAACAGAAATCTATATTTTTTGTCTGCAAGTTTTTAAAAAATGTTTAAACTATTGAGTTTTCACGGACGCCATTTAAAGATTAACTAAAAATACTGTTTTATTCCTGCAACGAGGAGCATGTCCGAAAAAACGAATGTCATCTCTTCCAAAAAAATTACTTGGCTTAATCCCACATATTATTCCGTTCCATTACTTGCAGAGTTTCGTCTGAACCTGTTGGTCATCCAACGTAGTGGGAAGTGGGGATGAAAGCCTTTGAATATTATGGCACGGGAGCTGCTGGGTTCTAGATGCCAACGAAACATTTTGACGTCATTGGAAAAAATCCATTTAATTTACATGTTTTTATTTCTGGCAAAATATCGCCAAGAGAAATCATGATATTGTACCTTACGAAAATATTAAGAAAATCTTACTAAAGTTTCTGAAGATTTTAAGAAACCATGATTATATTGTAATATGTCAGAGGTGAATCCGGGATCAAGCGATGGGATGAAATAGAGGTACACTATTGGCATCCAACTGCCTCCACAGTTACGTGAGAGTATTCAAGTATTTTTCGATCAAGATCGTATGAAATAACCACGGTAAGTAATAAGCAAAGCAAATTCCAACAAATAAACTGCATTGTAACAAACAAAAAAATCCGCCAGCAGTAACAGCAATAAATAATAAAACAAAAATGAAGAAAGAAAAAGACAAATTAGCTTAATATTTAACATCTACTTCATCAACATTTCACATTTGGCAAACGTACGTGTGGCAGCGCCTTTCAAAATAATATTTTTAACCAAGGACATTTTTAAACCGATATTTCCCCCCTGATTTGGAAAGAGAGTTTGGTAGTGTAGGCTCCTTTCTGGATTATGGGCTTTTCATGCATTTCACCATTAAAGCCTAATACAACGTCGCTGAGGTCTTGAACTTAAAAATAATCAAAAATCAAAGTTTTGAGATTTCCTGAATGGTGTCCGAGTGAAACGTGGTGCATGAAATTATGGTTTAGAACGCGTTTAAAGTCTTTTCATTTTTCAGCACACTAGTATTAAATATTTCAATATTTAAAAAGTTGTTTTTACATGGCATGGTATATCTCTTCATTTTTTAATGTTTTGGTTATACTAGGTGGACAAAGCATATGCATATGACACAGGAGATTACGAAAGGGCAAGAAGACTCTCAGCCCTTACCATTTGGTTGAATATTTAATGGCTTATTAGACCTGCCCTGAAATCTTTTTTGTTGGTTGAATCGGTATAAATTGGCTTATCTCGCAATCTACTAGTTTCATCGTTAACAAAATAAAGCAATTTTATTAAACTACGGGTTCAGGTGAATTATCAACTAAAAAAACTATTTTAAAATTTTAAATACATGTAAAATATGAACATTTCATTCTGAAATTCGGGTCCATCTTTGAATTTACTTTGAAACTTGTGCGGTCAAAAGTGTCGGTTTGCTGCCCTTACAATGTTCCTCTTTTTGACTCATACATCCGAGAGGACTGTTCTTAATATTACTTCCAGTTCCTGCTTTTCAAAGTACGTGTTTTGTCCATATTTCCTTTACACGTATCCTTCATTTTTCTAAGTTGGGATTCTGCTAATTCATGTAAAGAATGAAAATAACACTCAGCGAAACTAAGGGCTCAGACAAAGGTATACTAAGAGTAAACAAGCAAATATTAGATTTAGCCAAGGCTAAAAGCGACGCCTAATAAGAGCAATTAAACTCTAAACCACTAAAAAGAATTCTTCTTTTGATGGATGGGCTTGTAAGATTAAATATCCCGCAAACAACACTAATAAAATGAAATCTCTCCAATCATGCAAGCTGAAGGTCTTAATATGTTTTTGTTTACAGCAAAATAAAAAAGAAACGCTTCAATGCGCAATAATACTCCGTTCGGTAGCACCATATTTACAGGTTAGGATTTCTAGAGTCAATATTTCTGTTTAAAGTAAAGACCAAAAAGAATAACCGGGCCGAACTGGTAGGTCATTGATTCACCTTTTTCACATTGCCCATAATACTCCAAGCGTTAACAGATAAATATTTGTTTTCCATTTTCTCCCTGGTGTTACAGTCGTCTCAAGAGCAACATGAACGTGATTAACATCAATTTGGATCGTTATGTGCATGTGAATATGAGAGTGAATTTCGAGAATACTACCCTGTTGCACTACAACCACACCATCGCTGGCATTAGCACGTGTAGTCGTGGTATTCGTTCTCACTGATAAATAGGATTTACTGCGCAATATATAGAGAATACTTCATGGAAAGTGCTGGCGTACGGTATTTACGCACGAGTTGTTGACGTATCAGAAATCGAACGAGTGAGCGCAGCGAACGAGTAAGATTTCTGATACAAAAACAACGAGTGCGTAAATACCGTACAAAGCACTTTCCATGTGGTATTGTGTTTATTATATACATACGGAGACATTCATCATTTTGGCGGCCTTTTTCATTTTAAATCTTTCAAAAATGCTTATTTGCCGCTACACACTTGCCGCAAAATGACAACGAAAACGAAGTATCAGCTTTTTAGTAAAAACGTTTGTTAAAAACATAAATGACGGTAAGGATATGAGGTAATCCAAGAACTATAAGTAATCTTCACTGTTTGTTGTCAATGCACAATTGAAAATGAGTGAATTTAAGTAAAATGTCCGGTTTCAATATAAGCTTAAGCTTAAATGAAAGGCAAAGTAGCTCCGACAAAAAGCACAACAAAAGCTTACGTCTCGTTCTGTTTTTCCCTTTCCGCTGTTGTTTCGCCGGCTCTCTACCGTTTTCTTTATCGACAGTGAAACAAACGAAACTATTCCACTCCATTTCCGAAATGTTTTTCACTTTTTTAGCGAGAAAAACTCTTTGACGAAAACTTTTCTTGTTGAATGTGTGCGAAGCGGCGCTGCAAGCTGCAATAAAAGGCGGGAATTTTGGCGCGAAACTCACACACCTCTGTGGCCTCTGATTGGACGTATCATTTTTCTCACACGTGAAAAAACATCGTTCGCGATTCTGATTGGACGTATCATTTTTTTCACGTGTGAAAACCATCGTTCGCTCCTCTGATTGGCTAGAACTAATTTGCGTACGAAAATTTACGACATAGCTTTTTGGTGAGTATTTCTCAGTATGTATATAATAAACGTGATTTACTGTACAATAAACTAAGTACGTTTCGTAGACTTTCCTATAACGGAAAATAATCACACCAGTTTTATTTAGACTGAGTTTGAAGATGGTTGGAAGGAAGTAACAGGAGGCCTTGGTGTATTTTCCTCTACAACACAACGGATAGTTTCCACCTTTTAGCTAATAAATGAAATGTGACGATGAAAAATTCCGCTGTGCAGTTATATTGTTGGCAAGAACAAAAAATCCGTATGGGAAGTTGTAAAGTAATTTTTCTTAAAAGGCATTGAGAAATCTGATGACGTCACTGGAAAACCGCTATACCAGGATGAGATAGCTGTTGAAAAAGTCATCCATATCGAAAAAGCAGCGTTTGAGGTTTAAACATTTTTCCAAGTCTTTACATATTATTTCTCCTTGATCTCTTCTCAGGTAAGAATGACTTTTTAATTTTTGACATCATTATATTAGCTAACTTAGCAGACAATTTTAAGCGATTAAACTTAAAATGCTGTGGATATATGGCCGGTGACCGCTCAAGGTTACCGGCCATACAAAAATTCCGCTATGCAGTTATATATTATTGGCAAGAACAAAAAATCCGTATGGGAAGTTGTAAAGTAATTTTACTTAAAAGACATTGAGAAATCTGATGATATCACCGGAGAAGCGCTATAAGAGGATGAGATCTCTTTTCAAAAAGTCATCCGTATCGAGAAAGCAGCGATTGAGGTTTAAACAATTTCTTCCAAGTCTCTACATATTATTTCTCCTTGATCTCTTCTCAGGTAAGATGACTTTTTACTTTTTGACATCATTATATTAGCTAACTTAGCAGACAATTTTAAGTGATTAAACTTAAAATGCTGTGGCTATATGGCCGGTAACCGGCCAAGGTTTTCAAAACACTAAATGACCGGCAGTCTTTCGCCTCGTGCAATTCTCGGGCTTCTTTCATGCTTAGCAGCCTAAGCGTGCATCCATAACTCGATGGTTGCACACTGCACGTTTACCATGCTTCACGTTACCATTTCTTAATTTGTACTTTCAGCTTTTTTATATTCAAGCAATGGCCGATCACAACGATATTCAAGGTACGTAAGAATAAGTCATCGTGAGGAAACAGTGTGATCTAAATAATACGAGCCATTATACTGAATACAAACTCTATTCCATAGTTCAGCCCAGATATCCTGGCTACCCGATGCAACCGTACCCACAAGAAAGGCCAACTTCCACGAGTGTGACTGTGCAAGTAAGCTCTTTAGTTTAGTTCAATAATTTCTTTGTACCAGTAACGTTTTTATGCGATCCAAAAGCTTAATCTTTCGTTATTCACCACTATTTTCGTATTTTCAGCCCAATTCAACAGCTCAGCTTCGTCGTCCATGGAATTGGATGGCTGTATCAATTTTTACCACCTTGTTCTGTTGCTTACCATGTGGTGTATCAGCCATTGTCCACAGTTGTAAGGTAAGAAATAACCTTAAGTTGTTTTGTTCCCTCCACCAAGTTGTGATGGGTCTAGGTAAGTACTACACGGGAGGGATATGGCGCCCGGTTCTTTAAATTCAGGCCAGCTGTAGTTTAGAAAACAAGAAAAGGCTAATTTTTTAGTAGCTAGTTTAGAGCACCCTACCTTGACTTGAGCTTTGTACGTTCAAATTTTTACTACACATTGTTGCAGAAAACGTCTCGAAACATCACTTACGAACCCCGGTACATAAGACCCGTAAAGTATTTTGGGGGAGTAACCCTGGCAGACAAGGTCAAAGGCACTACAATTTATAAAGTTTAACTTCAAATTACCAAAAAAAAAACAGCAAAGACAAGAATAGCATGTAAATTACGATAAATTACAATCTTAGTGAGGTACTGTATTGCTCCAAGAGGTTTTTCTCCGGGTACTCCATTTCAAGAGACCAAGAATCAGTAGACGAATGGCCACTTAGTGGATGTGCTACCTCTAAATCGTTATTAATTTAAAATTTATTTAGGTGTATCTTGCATAAGATACGAACGAAACATTTAAGTCATGGTTGCCTCAGATCTGTATTGGCTACGGGTTCCGACAACACTTTAAAAATGCCGAAAAGACTCAGTAAAAACATCTGGGCAAACAGTCGTCTTTATGTTAGTTCATCTATGCCCCCCTTTGGCTTTCCTTTTCTCCTTTACGCTTGAGCAGTTATTAATGGGTTTAATTTTCTTTGACTAGTTGACAAGTGCTGAAATCGGCTTATATTGTCACGTGTCCTAGCCCTTTTAAAGTGTTTTAGCATCGACGACGGCGACGGCAGCGAAAACGTAACTTTTAAAATGAATTAGTGTTCTTTCAAATTCGCTGAAAATGTCTGATGTAGGCAAATTTGCCTGAAGTTGATTTCTTGCGGGCCGCACTCAAATTTTAGAAAGAGAAAGAAAATTTTGTCGTCGCTTGTTTACGTCCTCCATGAAACGTGAAATTAGGCATTTTCTCAGGGGGGGAGGGGGGGTACTCGGGATTTCAAGTGACGGGGATGATCGAAGGGTTTTTTTGGGTACGAAAATTTGGCAATAATTTTTTTGGGTAGCTTGATTTGAGTAGGGATTTTTTTAGGGCATTTTAAAAAAGAATCGGTGGTGCCTTGGCTGCGTAGTTCTGCGAATAAAGTACAAATATACGTGTTTTGCTGTTGTGTAATAGTTAACTATGGTGTCGCTTGACATCGCACGTGTTATACAATAGTCTGCATTGTCCCGTAGTGCCCGGCCGTGTACAAGACTTCAACCGGGATTTGGTCTACGGATTTTTTTGGGTTTTGCTGGAAGCCCTAGGGATTTTTTTGGGTCTTGACTTCTGGCTCCATTCGATCATTGCCGTCACTTGAAATCCCGAGTACCCCCCCTGGGGACATTTTCAGGTCGTAGTCGGGCAGTAAAGGCAAGGAAATGTAAAAAAAATGCATGAAGCACGTGATAAACATAACCCTATTGCTGTTCTGACGTTCTCGTTGCCGGGGCCGCTTGTTAGGCCCGGTTTAGACGCCAAACTTTTCATGAGCCGAACCTATAAATTCGAATTAAGGCCGACCCAAGTTATTTAGACCAGCTGAATTGATTCAGGCGCCGATCTTATTTGCAACTGAGCCAAGTTCAAAAGGCGAAAAAATGCTCATTTCCATGTCAAACTGCTTACAAAATACGTTATAATAATTTATGCATTAGATTCGGTACATGAAAAGTTCGCCGTCTGAATCAAAGCCGATCCAAAGTCGCTACAAAGGCGAAATTCCCGGCCGGGCTATGAGAAAAGAACGGCTGAGCCGCTCCAAATTGAAACAGGCGTTCCTGATTAATTCAGCGCCAAGCTTTTCAAGTATAGACCGTTGTCACGCGGCGGCCATTTTGTCTCAAGAGATGAAAAAAGCTTTGTATTTGCACGGCTAGCCTCGTTCTCACTGCTTTTTTAATTTCCTGGAACAAAATGGCCGCCGCGTGGCAAGGGTCGATTAGGTTCGGCAAAGTTCAGCATCTGCACCGGGCCTTAAAATGTGAATGACCGTTTTACATGATATGGTACTGGAAATGTCTGCAGTGCAGGGAATGATGCTTTTACGATTACCTAATTTATGCTCGAATGATTTCCTTTCTTTTTCTCTAGGTGAATAGAGCATACGATGCTGGAGATCACGAAGAAGCCGAGAAAAACGCAAAAAATGCTAAATTGTGTAATTTAATTTCGATCGTATTTGGTCTTATCTTCATCCCATTAATAATCTATTTGCGTTTTAAACAGATGCAAGAACAAAAAAATAGCTACTAATTAATTGTTTTACTAACGCAAATCCCCGCTTTACAAGTTTTCAATTTAATTCAATCTTTATTCACACTTTTATAAAATATTTACATTATATATATAGTAAGGAAGGAATACACTTATAAAGGAAAAATAGAAGGAAAAAAGAAAATTAATGGCTTGGATAGAAGTGTACGGTTTATTGAAGTTTATTGAACAATCCGAGAATAGTGGGGAAAATTATTCTCTTGCCTTAACTTCATAAAATTCGTCAGTTTGTAATTATTGATAAGTGTTCACTAAAATGAGATGCGGAGAAATATGAAACCAGACTAATGAATTCCAGATCCTAAAATGACATTCTCCAGCTTAGTACCTGTGAACCTTTTAAGAAAACAAGTGTAGAGAATCCATCTGATTTCTATTTAAGGGGTTTACACTTCTGAGTTGCAAAGTGAAATATTAGTCCAACGGTGAAAGAAACTTTCGACCAATCCATCCCCGGCCCTGGATAGCCTCACAAGCAGAAGTATGAACGGGTGACGAACCCCGAGAACGTCTGCGTAGGAGACTATTCACGTTCCATCTGAATTGTAAATATCATCCCTGGGGATTAATTAATGATATGCAAATGAGTATATATAATAGGAAACACTGGCACGCATTGTCCCATTCACTTCACTTTGTCCGACACGAAGGGCGATTGGCGACCCACCCACCTTTCCCAGCGAGTAAGTCGGGTTCCAGCTTAGCTATTCATGTATTCAATTAAGTCTGTCTCGGGCTTGTCCCAGGTCAGATTGACTCTCCATACCTTATTATAATGCCATGAATAACAATACCCAGGGATGGATATTATACTATTCTCGGGGCACCAGGAGCAGTAAATAAGGAGGGCGGCGCCGGGTATATATTTACTAGAAATACCTATCATGCAACGTGAGTTCTTCGTAAAAATCGTTGTTGCACTCAGTTAAGTCCTGTCGTCAGTCGCGTTTAGAAGCTCAGGCTACGTTCACATGGCACCGGAAGAATTTCCGATCGGCGAAAAAAATTGACCGGACAATCCGTTCACAAGGGGCTGTTCAAAATGGGAGCTTTGCTTTTAGCCCTTGCTAAATCTAAATCTACTCCAACACTCTAGAGTATTGATGACATCCTTATTTCAGGAGAATCAGATGAAATTCATCTGAAAAACCTTCATCGAGTACTAACACGATTACAGGACTGCGGTCTTAAGCTTAACCCTGATAAATTCTTTTTCATGCTGGATAAAGTAGAGTATCTTGGTACTACCATTTCTGCTGCGGCGATCTCACCTACTGCGCATGCTGAGAAAGTGCAGGCAATAAAGGATGCAGCACCTCCAACAAATGTTTCTGAATTACAGTAATTCCTTGGATCAGCCAATTTTCTACGTAAATTTGTGCGGGATTTTGCAAAGTTGGTTTCACCTTTGTACAGATTACTTCGTAAGGAGGTACCATGGAGATGGTCAAAACTGGAACAGGACGCTCTTGGTAACATCAAGACTGCTCTGTGCTCTGATTCTGTTTTACGTCACTATGATCCTCTGGCTGAATTAATTCTACAGTGCGACGCTTCTTCAGTGGGTGTGGGAGCTGCATTATTACAACGTAGACCCGATGGTGCATTAATTACAACCTGTTACCTATGCATCCAGGATACTGAACAATGCAGAACAAAATTACTCCCAAATTGAACGTGAGTCATTAGCTGTTGTTTTTGGCGTGACCAAATATCGCCAGTGCCTGTTAGGTAGACACTTCAAACTTCTAACAGATCATAAACCTTTGATTACTGTACTTGGGGAACACAAGCCCGTAACCCAGTTGGGAGCAGCAAGGATCAAAAGATGGGCACTACTTTTAGCTGCTTATGACCATACAATTGAATTCATAAGGGGCAAAGACAATGTGTTTGCAGATGTTTTGTCTAGGAAGCCTATTAAATACAAACAGGGTGCTGCAGAACAGGAACTTTAGAATCTGACATATCTTAATTCCCTTCGGAAAAAACTTGAAGAGGAAAATCCATCCGATGCTGTCAAAAGCGAAATCTACACGGAACTAGACATCAAAACTCTTCAGCTAGAAAAGATCGCCCAGTATCAAACTGGTGGAGCTATTTTAAGATCAAAAGCTCGTTGGTATAATGAGGGAGAGAAAAACACTAAGTATTTCTTAAATATGCAGAAACGGCACTTCAATAAAAAAACTATCAAGCAACTTCAATCGGATAAGAAAGGTGTCATCAACACGGATGACAAAATTTTGCAAGAGGTAAAATCCTTCTATCAAAACCTATACTCTACTCTTTTGGATCAGGTAAACCTATTAGCTACGAAGATATCTTTTTTTCCCCAAAATTTTACAGAAGGACTTGATGAACAGTCGAAAAACGAAATTGAATGCCTTTTAACTGATGTAGAGTGTTTAGAGAGCTTAAAAACGATGGCTCCAAATAAAAGTCCAGGCACTGACGGGCTTCCAGCGGAATTTTATGA